AAGATCAAAATGGGCTCCCATGACGCTTTGCTAAAGACACTTGATTTATTCAGAACTCAAGGCCATTGAAAGCAATTTCCTGAATGTAACATCCCACAAAGTTTGTAGAAAAAAATTGCTTTGTGGGAACATTATTCTTCAACAGTGCACAACTTGAGTTTCTGGAAGAGCTATTTTACCAAGAAGCAGAGTGCTGGAGAGCTGGCAATCCCAAATGACATGGTTAGGGATGGGTTGGGCCACAGATTGCAGGAAAAGCAGCCAACTTGTGCTCAGGGTGTGTGGGAAACCACGTGAAGTACCAATCTGTTGTAAGAGTGAACAGGTATTTGAAGAATCAAATACCTTAAACATTTTTGTTTTAACGTGATCTTTATATGCAGTCTAAGCAGTTTTATGTATTTTTAAAAAACTATATTTCAACTAATAGTTTTGATGTTGACACCGCTTCGAAATGTGGAAAATGTCCAGAAAATTACATGACAGCATAAAGTGTCTTAATGAAGCGCTGAGCTATCAGAACAGCTTCAGTGTGTTTTGAGAAGGATTATTTGAAATTGTGCTGGAGAAATTTATCACCGTTCATTCAAAAGATATTCCTTTTATTGGCGTCTTAATGAAGTCGGTGGGGAGAACTGTTTAACTGGATGTTAATTATTTTTTAAAAATGTCCCATAAGTGTTAAAGTGGGTTGAGATTTGTTAACAGACCATTTCATGCTCTGTAAATAACTCAGTGACCACTCTTACCTAACGCTTGGAGGCACTGCCATCCTGGAAACGATCGCTCTCATCTGGATAAAAGTGTCAAAGTGACCAGAACCTTATTTAATCATCTAACACTAAATCTGATGAACGGTTTTGCTGTTTTTCACACAGGAGGACATGAAGATTGTTTTCACCGGTTGGGCAGTTAAGATTACCACTCAACAATTAATCCAACACATCTATAATCCTACACTTCTAATTCATTTTAACCAGAAGTCTAAAGTACGTTATCATAAGAAATTTAGGGACAGATTCACTGCGATCTTTCCACCTCCATTTTCCAGGGTTAGGCTGAGGGTTCCTTTGAAATAGTAATTCAGCTGATCCTACACAGGTTGAGATACTGCCCTGGCAAAAATTGCCAATTCACCACGGTAACCATGCTGATAGTCTGCTGAAGTCCCCGACAGCTACAGGTGCAAAAAGCCAAACTTCAGGACAGTTGAACGATGCTGAAGATCCAACCAGACAACAGATCACTGTGCTGCTGTGCGCTAAAGCTGAATTAGGGAAAGAGATTTGAAGAGCTGAGGGTGGGGTGGTGGTGGCGAAAAAACATTTTGGGATTGAGAAGATTGGGACTGACCACCTAAGCCAACTGCCGTGGTGGTCAGTGGTGATTGTGTGTACTGCTGTTTCATGCCAACTATTCTTTAGCGAACCTGCTTTTAGTTAGTTTGTTTAAATCAATAAAAGAACAGCTGAGTGAAATGCCTGTCCATTTCTCCTTTTGGTGTGGGCTGATTTTATCAATACTTCTTCAAAGAACTCTGTGACTGGTGTTTGTCTTATTTAAATTGCTTTATTTACTCGCTTATTTACACTGTGTGATTCACAGCAAACAACTGAGGGATGCACTGCGAAAAACATTTGACACATCCAGGATTTCTTGGTGTTAGAACCAAAAACCCCAATCAGAGTTATGAGTATCAACACGGTGGCATGTTAATCTGAATTTATAAGGTCATTATAGCACTACGTGTGAAAATGTGAAACTTTTAAACGTCAAAGAATAATCGGTTCATTCAGGTCTGTCACTTTACCGCAACTTAATGGGAATGGCTTTAGATTTTTGCCAAACACACAGAGAATCTGGTGCCTTCACAGATGTGCAGGTTACTCCTGCCATGTATGCAAATGCACGCAATTATGCAGTAGATGCAGAAAAACCTAATTCCAATGATATTACAGTTGCCTAAAACTAAACTAAAAACTACAACTAGATGTAAAAAAAAATATCTTAGCTCACAGATATAACAATAAAAACCAGACTTTTGAAAACTTTTAAATTCTAATGATTTTCAAATACTTGGAAAACTGAAATAAAATAAAAATGTAAAAGAATGTATCATTAGTTTTTGTTTATTTGGTAAAAAATTGTTATTACATGTTATTACATCTATAATAATACCTATGTCTAACGAGCAAACCAACCCAGAGGATGAACTGTAACTTAAACAAACACTATTCAGAAAATATTAAACAAAATAAATTGCAAGGCAACATTTTAGAGTATCTTTAATGTGAAATTTTTAAAAGAAAAGTTCCTGGATTCATTTACATTTTACACTGCGCACCACCTTTTTACTAGTTTTGTACGATGTACATGTTACTGATAATAAAGTTCGGTGTAATATATGAATCAATGTTAATCAGTGATTACTAAAAGCACACTAAGTAACACCTTAGTCCAGCTGGGTTATCAGTTTAAGTGACAAAAGGATGTGAGTATATATTACAGCATGATAGCAATTCCTTAGACAAGTGCATTATGTTGTAATGTATTCAGATGCATTTGTCTAAGGAGTTTATGCTAACTGAGATAAGCTTGACAAGTCTGTCTCCATCTTTTCCTGCAGATACTTTGTACTCGATCTGTACGTGCTGAGCAACAGCACTGGATTTATTACGCGCACTCGCCAAATAAACTGTTAAATGCGTTTAGCTCCTCAATTCAATCTGCGTGAGAGTTGCTGTCTCGTTCTTTCAAAATCTGAACACAGTCCAACTGCAGTGAAACAGGTGTCTTATTACTCCAACTGCATAAATCATGACAGCACGGAGTAAGAAGTGGGTTTACAGGAAAGGGGAAAGAAATGCAGATGCAGAATTCAGTGGTAAACAGAGTTCTGCGAAAATCAGGAGTTGCTCCCCTAAAATGTACCTCCTGCATAAATCATACCTGGAAAAGCTTTTTTTTTTACTTTAGGGAGTGACGGAAAAAGCACTCCCAAAATATACTCCTCTGAGAAGTTACGCAGGAATCAAAAATTCATAACAATTCATGTTATTTCTCATAGTTAAAGTCAATAATAATAAGTAATAAGTTACTTACTTCTCGCTGACCAGTGCTTATAAGTGTCCTTTCAGTTATATGTGTGATCTGGTAATCTGAAGGTGAATTCATTAAAGGTCCATCCAGCGGGAGAAGTGGAAGCAGGAACCAGGCACAAACATTGGAGGCAACAAACGCTCAAACTGACTGACCTGATGTAAAATGTGCTCCCAATTACATGTAAAAGGAAGGTGGTGGTAAACAAAAGAGAGGGAGGGGAAGGGGGCAGAAAGGAGGAGGACTACGCTGCTATTATGAGCACTTTATTTTCAATTAAGCCTCCTTGCATCTACTGCAAGCTCACTTTCTGGCATTTTTGATGATGCAGGGACTTCTTAGACTGGAAATTGACTGATTAGCAGACGTTTGCAATTTTAGTAATTTAAGGGAAGATGCACTTCCAACGCGCAGAAATAGGACAAACATCAGCAACAGACTGATGTTTTTCATTTTTTATAGCAGTTTCAAGAAATCATGTCGTCGTGTACTTTTATGTACCGATTGTAAACTGTGGTTCAGGAATTCATCCGTTACCAGCTTGTGAAGTTAAGTATTTAACATATTGTTATGGGTTTAAGTATAATAGAAAACAAAGCAGTGAAATCTGAAACAATCACTCCAACAAATTCATAATTAACTGCATAAATTTATAATTAATTGTTGAGCCAATAAGAGCACAAGCCTACACTGAATTCAAAACTATTTTGTGGTGTTCGGTAGGAAAAATTGGGGTGATTTAGTGAATTTATTTTTGCCCCTCCCAAAGGCATGGACCACAGTGTGAGCAGTGTGTCCAACTTTGAACCAGATAATTTTGTGGTGCCATATGGAGATATAGGCAATGCTATGCAATGCAGCTGACATGCAGACTGAGTCTAACGCCACACCCTGGCACTGGACTGGTAGGTAACATTATATGGTGGGTTTCCTCTTATAGCTGCATCCACACAGTACCATGGTGACCAGAGGCCATAGAAAGGAAATGACATTTAGCTATTTAAAAAGAAAACAAAAAAATAGTTGAGATTACTGTTGGTCGTCACTGAAATGACGACCAATGAGAGAACAGAATCCCACTGACATATGACCTGGTAGTTCATTGGTTAGAGGATTATGTAGGCAACCAGAGCCTTCAATGTCCAGTGTTTTCAACGAGCAAATCACTTCTTGTGTGGAGGCACCTTTAGGGTTGGGCGGGGCACGGCCCGATGGTTCAGCAGTAAACCCAACCAAAAAAGAAAAAAAGGAAATATTTTGTAATTGTAAAGTTTAAAGTTACAACAACAAGACTTGAAAAAAATAAATAAACACAAACATCAAAAACCTGGTGGTTCAGTATTTAAAGTTAAGCTGCTCTTAATGGCAAAATCAATTGTGGGTTGTTGCATCTCCCCATCCGTCTTACTAGTTTTGATACAAGATATTAAGTTTACACACTTTAATCATTTAATTTCCCACCAACAAACACCCCATCATCATCCTGAGATGTCCAATGAGCAGCAGAGAACACCTGTGTGCCTGTTCAGGGCCTTTAACCCATTAGAAAGTCTGAATATCTGGGAAGCCCCAGTACAGTTACACCTCTTATCGATTGGCAAAAGAATCCACTTTACACTCTAATCTAATACCTCCACGTTCTGAAAAGCTTTTAAACTCTAGAGGAAGTCAACTTAAAGAGGGTGCAAACCAAGAAAGATTGAGAGAAAAAATATTTCAGGGTGACAGCCGACTGAAAAATGCATGAAGCTGCTGAAAGACTGAGCCTCCTTTCGTCTCTCAGTCTGCTAAAACCATCAGGAATACTGAGATCTGTACAGAGCAGGTTTTTTGGAATAAAACATGCTTCCAGAAAACAATTCACTGCATTAGGAAAGAAGAAGACTCTCTAAATATCAGGGTTTCCTTTTGTTGACTTTTATTTAATAGCAAGTTGAGTAAGCATCATACAAGATGGACCAAATACATAAAATGATCAACTAACGTAGCAAATCTGTGTGTGGATGTGAAAATGTCTTCAACTAAAGTTGCTTAGAGTCAATTTATGCTTTTTTTTCTTCTTTTATTAACAATTGTTTCAAAGCAATACGTCCATTCCAACAATCCCCATAGAGCGCATGTTACAAACTTAATGAGACTGATTCATGTCTGGTCTTGTAAAGTGATCTAAAATTGCTCAATAGAAAAGTTCACAACCACAACATGGCTCACCCTCTAATAACAAAGTCGGAAAATAACCTTTTAAATACAAACGGCTTCCACACCTGTTCATCAGTGGCTCTACAGGTAAAAAAATAACTGCATGGTGAACAGATGTCAAATGAGCTAAATTAGCCTCCAATGTTAAAAATATACTGAGGAGTGGCTTCAAGAATAATTGACTTTTTTGTACAAGCTTTTTAAAAATCAAGACCCTCATTAATACGTAGAATCGGTGGAATGCATAAATTATATCTGAAGAATTACCGTGGATGTGTTGGACAAGCAGCAACTAAAAGGCTTCACAGGTACCTTTGCTGGTAAAGTATTCCTACCGGGTAGAGTGTGCATTTTAAACTCTTCTGGTAAACCTATGAAAACCTCAAGGTATCATCTGAGCTGGTGTCGAGGACTGCAGGGGGGAGGCGGGGGAAGCAGAAGACGGAGAGATCAAAACAGTTTGATGATGCTCTCCCTGGACTTGCCGACTCCGACCCACTTCACTGAAATGAGAAGACGCAGGGACCAAAATTCGATTGGCAGGTTTTGGCAAAGCGAACAAAGACGTTGGCTGCAGTTTCCATCCCCATTAAACTAAAGTATCTCTTTACAAACCTGGCACTTGCAGGAAGTCCTCGATGAACCGAATATAATTTTGAGCCTGCACCGGAAGCTCCTCGAAACTCCGAGCCGTCTCCGTGCTGCAGCACCAGCCGGGCAACGTTTCGTATTCCACTTTCACTTGTGTCAAAACGTCCATGTTTGCTGCAAAAGAAGCATCGTTCAGAGAAAAATCGGTCCTGGGAAATCCAGCGCACCGGCCCACAAAAACCCACTGAGCAAAAAGAAATGATAACGTGCTGTTTTTGTGCAGCTCTGGTGCCATTTTAAACAGAGGAGACCCTTCTGATTCATTAACTTAATGATTCAACTTCTTCTATTTGGCAGTACAAACAGAGAGATGAAGACGATAAAGCTGCGTCTGAACAGATTTTGACAAACTCAGGATGTTGCACTTCCTGCTGGGAGAAAAAAAAAGCTGACCCATGTGAAATAAAGACACCCCCCCCCCATGAAACCAGATTCTTTTCAGTAATTATATTTCTGTCAATAAAGCTGGAGTAGGCAACATGTTTCTAGGCATCTCTAACAAAAAGAAGAAGAAGAAAAGAAAAATCTATAATAACTTTTCAGCATATTGTTGTTTAAGTGGTCTGAGTAGGAAATGTGCAAATGTAGCCTGCTAAGGGCCACAGCAGCAGATCAGGTGAATAACAAGCGAGATGTGAGATACAGGCACGATGGATGTAAGCAGAGAGCAGCCACCTCAGAGAGCATTGTTCAAATCCTGTGTGAAGTCAGGAATCAATCTCAACTTCCTTTTATGGAGAACAGTTGTGTTTGTGATTGTCTGGGTGGAGGGGTCTGGATAACTGACCAGCCATAAACAATCAAAGACTTCAAAATGTCACGCGATCAACTGTTAGACTCAAATGTATAAGGATAGCACTATTCTGAAGAATGTGTACATCCTCACATCTTTTCACATTATTGTGACACTTGTTTCAGAAGTTACTGAGTCACAGAAACACTAAATCCTGACTTTAAGCTCTAAACTGGGCTCAAACTGTTCTTTCGAACCGTTGCATTTATACCATTTTTCTACAGATCTAGAAAACCTGGGAACATCCTACCTGGAAAACTTGGCAGAGGTTGTCCATTAACCTTATATGCCACGGCCACTTTAATCTCAGGCAGCGTGTCCAAAATGTCCAGCTTCGTCAGAGCAATTCTGCAGAAAGAATTTGTGTTCAGCTTTGATCACAACACAAAGAGCACATGGTGAAACTTGCTTCTAAACATAGCAACGATGCCAGTAATTACATCAGCCAGCGAGGGAAATATTCTGAAATCGTTTGAATGTTCCTTACGCAGAGAAGCCATTGACCATGTGGGCATATCTGACCAAAATCAGGTCCAGCCAACCACAACGCCGCCTTCTGCCCGTGGTCACACCGAACTCTCTGCCTCTACTCTGTAACAGATTCCCGGTCTCCTGCGGAGCAAGAAAGAGACACACAAAGTCAGTTTAAAGAGGGGAAAAAAACAATAAATAAATGGGAAGCATATTCCTTGATTTCAAGAGGCAATCACACCAATACTGCTTGCTCTAATAACTTTATTTTGTACAGAAAGTCAGATAAGCATATATTCATCTCTAGTAACACCTGCATGCACACTCCACTGTCATGCTCTCTACAGTACCGGGGATTTGCTGTAATCTGGGGGATCCGAATTGACGTAAGTTTGGCCACAATCATGCGTCTGTAACATCAGGTTGGCAGCTGACCACAGAGGCTGAGCAACTGATGATGTTACAGTCCATATTGGACACACAGTAGAAACTGCAGGAAGTAACTAGGATTTTTTTTAAAGCACAAAAAAAACAATTTGTGTCTTTTTACTCACGTTATCCTGTTCTGTTGGAAACGCACCAACACCCACACGGGTGGTGTAAGCTTTGACAACGCCGTACACTCGGCCAACATAGGACGGAGGCACCCCGAGTCCAGTGCATACGCCTCCAACGGTGCAGTTAGAAGATGTCACGAAAGGATACGTGCCTGAACAGAAAAACACCTGTTAATGTGAGGAAGCAACAAAACAAACAAAACACAACACGTCCATCATCTCAACTCAAATATTTAAAAACCTGTAGATGCTCACCAAAGTCAATATCCAGGAGAGCAGCGTTGGCTCCCTCCACCAGGATTTTCTTACTGGGTCCAGTAAGAGCTCTGTGCATGAAGTACACCCCGTCAGTTACCAGAGGACGCAGTCTCTCTGTGTATTCCTGAGAACACACACAAAAATATCACTTGATGAAAATCTATAAGACTTACCTACACTACTAAGTAAATAATCCGTTTATAGTGCTGTCATTAGAAATCATTTTTCTCAGATACATGAAAGTCCAGCAAACATGGCTGAAACCCTGACATCCCCTCCCTGATCGAAACTGGCCACAGCATGACAACAAAAAACTGAACTGTGGATAGATGAAAGTTTACAGAGGTCGGGTCAGACGGTCTCTGTAAGCTGATTTTCTTTGAATAAATTGACCCTCACAACAAAAGGTTTAAACAGCAGAGGAGTGGGGCTACTCTGCTCACAGCCATGCACAAAGATGTTGTGCAGCTATCACACTAATCAAACAAACTGGACGGGACTCAGGCACGGTACATGCTAAGATAGTCAGACTACAGCTATAGGTCCACTATCTTAGCCTTACCCCTGTTAACATCACCTGTGTTTTTCCTGCTATGAATACAATGAATATAAGAACTCCCAGTAACACAGGCAGCTAAATGAAATTCAGCCATCATTAACCTTTACACCTGTGATTTTTCCTCTTGTGATGTAGGCCCAACACCAACACCTGAGCCATATAATACCATGAAATACCTCTATGTGATAAGCAGATCTCACCTTCAACTGTTGCAGTTCGCTGTCGATGTCGACATTAAGGTTTGGGTACATGGTGCGAAAATGTTCCGCCAGCATGCGAAACCTGCAAACCATGACGAGCAGGACAGATTATTAGTTAGACACGTTAATGCATGTTTATGTGGAGCCTGTCTTTATGCAGCTGTGCTTCCACTGATTAGAGTTTTAACCTGACACACAGGAAAGAACGACTACGTTACATAAGGTTTCCATAAAAGCTTTTTCAGCTGTTTTCCATAGATGGGTGCTGCCACCTGCTGGTAGGAGATTGCATAAACTGACAATAACTGGACTAATGTGTTATAACACCTCATGTTTTGTCTGTGAGATGTTCCATTTTTTAAAAATCCTTAAAATGTATGCCTAAACTTGCCATCTGACCAATCTATGATTCAAAATCACTTAAACAGCGTTCCTGTCGGCGGCCACGTTATCACGTTATGGTGAGGTGATAAGACTGTGCAACATGAGGTAGAGAAAAAAACAAAGCGCTTACTTCTCCTCAAAAACTTTGAAATCTGAGACGAGGTCACAGACTCGCAGACCGTTCCGGGCAGCTTTCGAGGAGTAGGCAGGACCGATGCCCTTCTTAGTGGTCCCTAAACTGGAGCACGAATAAACACAACAAAGTCTATTAGGAAGTGCACACTAAACACAAAGTCATCCCCAGTCTTTAATGCTGTTATACTGCATGCTATTATTAACAGTCATAAAATATTTGATTTACTTTTTCCCTTCTTGCTGCTGCCTCTGCTGCTCCTGGATTCCATCAACAGCTTGATGGAAGTTGAACACTACAGGAGGACAAACGGGACTGTCAATAAGAACACGTGTGTTACTCAAAACTTTGAGGAGAAACTCTTACTCACCGATGTGGGCGCGATCTGAAATCTTTAATCTTTCCTCCCATCCTTGTAATCCTGCACAGGAAACAACGATTCACGTGGTGCAATGATTTTACTGCAGGAAGCATCTTTTTTCTCTTCTTCTGCATTATTATTGATGCGTGCGCACACACACACACACAGACTAATAAACATTTGCTTCATGAAAAGCATAAAACCACTGAACTAGTGAGATGTTAAATGTTGAGAGTGAGAGGTGAGACAAGAGCATGGTTACCACTTTACTGTCTCACATCTTCGTTTAACACACAGTAAACTTTATAGGCCTTTTCCACTCGAACCTACTCGGGTCCGATCTGTTTTCAGGGTTTTCCATTAGGTGCCAGGTACTTTTTTAGTACCTGCTTGGCCAGAGTTTCCAAGCAATCTGAGACAATCCGAAATTGTGACATCAGGCTGCACGCCACCAACTGGCTAGTAAGTGGCATCAGAGTCATCAGAGTGTCTCCTTAATGAAAATCAAAACTGTCATTTTTGAAACCTGACAACAAGTGAAATGGTTACACAGAAGAACACTGTGATCACAGAGCGTGACAAAAAACCACAGACTGAGCAGCAGGTATACCGTCGCCTCCACGTGCTCCTTTGTTGTAGCATTCGTGTCACATATAAATGACATCACGAGACTCTCGATTACGTTGCTATAACGACTCCCCGCACATTAAGTGGTACTCAATTGTAATGGAAAATGAGTGAAACAGAGTCGAGCTGAGAAGGTACTAGTGGAAAAGGGGTATTGGTGAACTGAGGACACCCACTGCACTATTTCTTTCTTTCTTTTATTTCTTTTGTTCTTCCTTGCAGTGTAACTAAAGATATGTTGCTGCACTTTTATGCATCTTCATATTGCAGCACACCTCTTCTCACCTTCCTCTGCAGTAGGCAGACTGCAGTCCCTGTAAAATAAATATCTGATGATTTATATAATGAAACAATGCTTGTTTACAATTTGACCGGATTTTGGACAGCCGTTCTTCTTCATTTGCCTTAGAGCATTTCCAAATATTAAGGAAGGGTGAAAATGACTCAGTCTGGTGTGACAAACTGTTTTGAAGGATTTCACACATTCCTTGAGCCTTTTGAACACCTGAGTATTTATCGTAATAGCACACAAACCCAAATTTGTGACTGTCATGACAGATTTACAGTTCCAAACATTGTTCAGTTTTATCCAGTTTAATCATCATAGAGATGCAAAGGAAAAGACTATTTGCTGGAGCTGGAGTTAGTCGAGAAACTGTTTTACTCTTGTTTTATAGTTGTGGTGCAAACGCTCTTTCAATACAGTCAGAAGACATTCAACACACATGTTCACTGCACTATTTCTGAAACGCTGTCAGCCAGTTTGGAGCCTCCTAATTTCAATAAGCTCTAAATGTTTTCAGATCTGTTAGGAAGGCCAGTTTTATCTCCCAGCCTCTTGCTACGAAAGCCATGCTGCTGGAATACATGCAGCATGTGCTTTTGCAGCATCTTGCTTCAACATCCAAGGCCTTTCCTGAGAAATCTCATTTAATGCTGATCTTATTCAGCATTAAATAGGGAGAGATACTCATACCATCACAGATACCAGCTTATTATCTAAATGATGGCATTCCTTGTGTATCTGCAATTTTGAAAACTGGCAAATGTTACAAAAAAATTTAAAAAAATCACTCTGGGAAGCAGTTTTTATAGCCAGAAATGTTACTAACTAACATAGCTGGTTGTGAAATAAGCAAGTTAATTAGTACAATGTTGTTTTTAATATTACACAACACCATCTCACCGTTTCAAATCCAAAATAAATCCAAAAACAAAGATATATAAGGGTTCGTCTCACTCTTATTTATTTATTTTTTAAATATTATATAATGCCATTTTACAATACGTCCCAGTTTTATTTTAATAATACAAATATCTTTTTTTTTGGGGGGGGGGGTAAATCTACCCTGAAATGATCCTTTATGCTGTGACACTGTACCTTTGCCTTTACGCAGATTCTTTTCGGCCTCCTCAAACAGTCCCGGCAGGTGTATCACCACTCCGTTACCTGTAAGGTGAAACTGAACTTTTAACAAGCCTCGTATAACTCATCTTGTACACTTTAGCATCAAGTGTTCCAGTGTGGGAAACAAACTGCTCATGTTTTCCCTCAGCTTTTGTTTGGATGACATCTCAGTGCACCCCTCTCCCAGTTTCCTGTTTTTACAGTAAGCCTACTGGAAACAAAAGCTATTAAAAGCATGACATCCAAACAAAACATACAATAAAGAGATGAGGAATGAGGAATGAAGCACAACAGCACACTGTACATGGTTTAATTCCTGTGGCTGTAAAACTGCACTGACTAGGAGGTCTTTTTATTATCTAGACGAGCCTTAATAACACAGGATCTGGGTAATGTCCTTAACAGCGTGAAACAGACGGACTGATAAGACTGTCTGCCTGTCTGCGTATGACGTTCACTCTGATAAAGGTGATTATTAATGCGTTATGGCATCTTCATCACGCTTCACCATCAGCGAGACTTTCAAAACTCAAGGCTCATCCTTACCAATGAATGAGATGGCCTTCTTGTTGAGCACCCCACTGGGCAGCAGATGGAAGTCGTACTCCACAGAATCCACAACCACGGTGTGACCTGCATTGTTTCCTCCCTGTGAACACAACATAACATCCATAACCTGCTCACAGCATAAGACCGATACAATGTTGTGGTGTGGTAAAACATGTTCAGTGTGAACAAAGGGTTAAAAGCTCCTGTTCCTGTAGGCGCTGTGTGGCTTTAACAAAGTAAACAATAGCACTTTTATTCGTAGGTGCGTCATTCCATTATATAATGTCATGTTCACGGTCATTTGTCTAACTCTGTAAAACTGTATGGATTTCGAAGCACCACATTAGATTACAAACGACAGTACTTAGGTAGTAGTGCTCGTTAGCGCCACAGCAGCTCTACATCCGGGGAGGTCAGCCAAGGTTGTTGACGTTGGTCATGAATATTTAACTGCAGCTAAACGGTGACGAGGCTCTCCATAGCCCCGCGTTATATTCACAACAAGCCCAAGAAAAGTGTAAGACGTGGTGTGTTTAAGGGTAAAAGGTGACAAAAGATCGACAGCGTAGCTTGGTACCTGGCACCTGCACACAATATCCGCATCCATGGCGAGTAAGTCCACTACTTTGCCTTTTCCTTCGTCTCCCCACTGCGCTCCGAGCACGACGGTCACTTTGTTCTGCGGCTCCTTCGGAGTCCTGAGTGGGTGCTCCTGCGGGACACCCTCCCGCGGTCGCTTAACGACCGGCTCCCCGTTCAGGGACGTGCTCTCCCGACCGTTAACGTTAGCCATGCTGCTTTCGGATGCCATGCTGCTGCCCCTCTTCCCGCAAACCGGAAAATCGTATTGGCGCGTTCTCTCGTCTACGGGAAGTGCTCGACTTCCGCTTTACGGGACATCCTCTTTTAGCTTTACTTTTTCTTCCCCCTGAATATAAAACATACGTGTTCACACATAATTATTATCACTATCTATCATGTCAATTTATGTTGACTAACTGCTATATAAACGCCTTGTCGGTCTGTTAAATTGTTTTTGTTTTTGTCTAATTTAAAAGTAACACACTCACTGATCTCCACTTCCGCTTTCCAATTTTTCAACATTCGCGATTTTCTTTTTAGTGTATTCTTTTTTTAAACTTTCATTTTATTGTATTTAACTCGTCAGTTGGTAATTTGAGTAATAAATTAAAGTTCCCTTTTAAAACTGCAATAGAGAGCAATTCAGTCAGAGGCACAGCAGAGGGCACCAGTGAGCAAGTCATCTGAGAACACTGAAAGACTAAATTAATTATTTACGTTGTTGCACTGTCAGTATCTACGAAGCTGTGTTTTTAAAAGAAGAAAAACGCAATAATAAATCTAAAAATATACAGCAAACCTAGGTTCCTATTTTTGTTCTATAAAGACAGTACATGCATGTGTCTGATCTGCCACAGGGAAACTTACATTGTTGAAATAATAAATAAATAAAATCGCGCCAACGTTGGTTTGATGTCAGGAAGGATAGCTGGACGTTATCCACAATAAAATCTTACACATATGTTTAAGAGATAGCATATTGTGTTGGCTCAGTGTGACTGCTGTCAGAAAATATTGGAAATTACGTGCGCTGCTTGCTTCATTCCTTAAGTCAAAATGGCGGATGTTGTAAAGTGGCTCGTTGTGCTGTGACTTCCCAAAGACTAATATAGAGGTATTTTACTACAACAGAGAGTAATACAGAAGTTTACAGCACGAAATTCACACTGGATTCATTTTAGCCTGTGTCACAAGACCCCCCCTCATATAAGCCACCCCAAAAGAGCAGGAGTTCACTGATCAACCACCACATTCAGACTCTAATATTGTAAAGACTCCCACACCTTGCTGTGGTGCTTGGCACAGACCCTTTGGATCCTTATGTTGTGGGGTGGGGACTGTGTGGACTGAGCTAGTTCCAGCAGGTCTCACAAAAGCTCGCTCAGAATCTGGAGAGTTTGTAGGTCGTGAGTCGATTTCTTTTTGCGCCCTGCTGCTGGGGGATGGCTCTGTTGGGGAGTGCATGATTGTCAGGATAGTCTGCAACACTGTGGTAGTAGGCACTCCAGCTCATGTCACTGTTAGTTTCTTGCTGCACATATCAGTTCAACTATCAACAGAAACAAACGGGTGCACTGAAGTTTATTTTCTGGAGTACAAGTTTAAATACTTCCATATATTTTAAATATATATATTCATTTTGCACAGTTTGTCCAATACTCTACTACTGCAGATGTAGCCATTTTCATTTTATTGATGTAAGTGAAGTATTTAAAAAGAAAAAACTATAATATATGCTTGTTGGAATTTATACGTGTCAGTATTTATCTCTTGCTGAAGTGTTAGGCACCATGTGAGGTTAGTATAACTGTAATTTTATGGCAATATGCTTGCATAACGGCAATGAAGATCATTAATCTTCCCACATCTGTCTTATCTGTGCAACACTGTGCAGCACAGGGACAACAACATTTCTTTTAAGCAGGAATTTCTCTGATCATCACTGCATCATAACCCCCTGATAAAAACAGGCAGAGCTGATGGTAGCTTACCTTTTTACCTCAGTTAAAGTCAAACAAGACTCCTCCTGCACTGCCTCACACTGTATTATGAGGAGCAGTTGAAGATGGCTGAATGTCATGAACACACAAACTCTCTGATAAGAATTCATTGTGTTTTATTTATTAAAAATATCCAATACAACATTTAAGAGTTCCACAAACATGCAACATATTTAAAACGGTGCATTCAAAAAGTGAACATCCTTTGTTTAAGGATGATTGTTATAATAATGCATTTGCCTGGAGGTTGTATTTTAATTAAGAGGACATTATATAGCTCCCTGCCACATTATATATTATGAAGACATTCATTATATAATTTGCAATATGGAAATCACTGATTTATGACAGGTTTTTTAGTAGGGTTAAATTTATCTGCACTACTTGTTGCCAGTTTAATTTACAGGCATGCAGACACATCAGGTTCTGCACTGGTCCAGTGTCACATCAGCACTTTTGCACTGAGCTTACTTCCTCTTTGCAGTTAGTATCATTGTCCTGTAATGATAAGTAGATCATAAATATATTCGTGCAATATGCTGGCGCACTTTCAGGGTGAGCTCGTCATTTACAATTTCACTGTTTGAGGTTACAGGTGGTTATTTGAATAGACCATCAGTGCAAAATGAGAGACTCGCTGAGCAACACAATAAGGCTTTATTCACCGTATATGCTTTTCTTCAGCAATGCCATCTTTAAAAAAAAAAAAAAATCACAAAAAAGTCACAGTTTATTTATTAGTGAAGGCACGTGGGAGATAACACCGTTGTGTACCTGTACACGCTCAGCAGGACAAACGCGGCAGTGGCCTACAGAACTGACAGGCAGAGGCTGGAAATCACTGGCTGTCAATTCATAGGTCATCACCTTGTGCCCCATCTCTCTTTAGCTACATATCGATCTTTCAAAGATGCAGTAACGCACACTCACAAAAAAAGCAGAATGGAAAATAAAAGCAATTGCGTGCTGGCTTCTTGTCGTCTTTGGTAGATCCCTGCAAGTAACAGCACCTCCACTGGAACTGACACAGCTTCCACATGGAGTTGCTGTTACATCCAGCAAGCACCAGAAGGCTCGTCGCCGATGATAAACAGCACGAGGCTGATGAACAAACCTGTCTTTGGATCAGGGTCCAGTTTATTGAAGAGGAGAGAAGCACCAAAAGAGAGCCCAGAGGTGGACTCAGCATTTGGACTTGGAGGCAGCTGCTTTAGTAAGAGAGGAGTCTCCTCTTGCAAGTGACTTTGACCTGGCAATTTCCTCCTCCCAGTTTTTATAACCTGAAGTAAACGGCATCATTGCTCACGCTGCTCCAACAGCATGTCCAAAGGGCCAAGGCCTGTAGAGATAACACAGATTTTATGGCAGCTGTCAACATGAGGGCTTTCAATGTGTGAGTAAAAGGGTGTGTCTGACCTGTGTACCTGCTATCCTAGCATTTCCTGCTTGCGCCTAAATGAGTCTTCTAATAACTATCAAGTTCTTACTAAGTAATTATGAGGATAAATCTCAAACTTCAGATTACCCAGTTTGACTTTAATCAAGTTGATTTTAGGTCTTGTAGTAAACGTAAGTAAAAGTAAGTTTCTTTTTCACCCTGCCTTGTTCAGCTTGCAGGGTTATGTCGGTGTAGACTTTGCCTTGTAGCAAAACTGCACAGAAAAAAGAAAAGAAAAGAAAAACAGAACAATAAAGCAATTCAAAGACCAGCAGTTACACTTAGACCAGCTGCTGTTCTTGTACTTGGTTTGTTTTAATTATTTTGAACGAATCAATCAGACTGCACTAAATTGCTTTCAAGCAGACACATTAGCATTCATTTGAAAACAGCACGTGTCTCTTCTGATCACTGATCCAAACAACAATCCAGTGCTTACACTACATTTAGTTATGTTCTGAAGGTATAAACGTAGGAAGGATGAAGCTGGGTCTCGCCTGGTCATCGCTTGGTTTTGTTTTGCTATTGTGACTGAAAAAACAAACAAAAAATAAGTCATACTCACCTTCTCGCTCAATGGGGCGCAGTGGATTTCGCAGAGGAGGCCAAAGGTTTGAGCAGCAAGGTGTCGTGACACACAGAGCCAGCGCTGGGAGCAGCAGGAAGCGGGTTACAGCCAAGACGAGTAGAAACTCAGCACACGGGACCGACACAGGTGAAGTCACATCTTCGTGGATACTGACAGTGCATGGTTTGGTTTTTTAAGACGTAAATGTCAGCAGTGACAGCAGAGAAATGGCAACGAAGCAGAGCGGCCAGTTTATGAGATCAGGAGTTGGTGCAAAGTTAATTATTATACTCGCAGTCAATATTTAACAGGCCCAGCGCCCGGCCCCTCTGTCCAACATCCTGATTCCATACTGAGTGGCACGGAGGGTAGGGCCAGTGTCAAGCACATCTCTTTTGTCGCCCTGCACAAAATATGTATTCACTGCCTCAAATGGCCTGCGAAATAAAATAAAAAATGAAACCCTCAGAGAACTGGGCTTTCTCTGAGTTTGAAAAAGCTCAGCTCTTGTGAGCCTCTATCTTAAAGGATTGTTTTAACAATAGCAGTAGTAACAATAATAGGATAGGGTGCAATGTACATTTACTGTTTTTCTCATACATGCATACAAACACACACACCTAAGCACACTTAGTGGAATAAGCAGTAATGTAGCTGAGAAGTATGAAGCAATAGCAAGAGGAATCAAAATACTGTGGAGTGTAGCAACAGAGCCAGGCTGAACAACAGGACAGTAAAAGGCTGATTAAGCAGTGCATTAAAGATTGGAAGAGGGCACTTTGATGCATTGGAGAAAAACAGCACGACATGTGACACAAAGCACTGATACTAAAAGTAGCACACAGTAACACAGTGTTTAGCGATGCTTTAAAGTAGCTGCTCAACACGTGCCAGTACAACCACATCTCTGAATGAGGTTGAGATATTGTGTAAAAGTGGTACTGCATTCAACGTAAAAACAGCACAAAGACAATTGAATTTGGTTCACTTTAATTCATCTCAGATGTTGTTCCTGGGATCTGCTGAGCTAGGCGAGTGGCTTCAGCAGATCCCAGAAGAGCGCAGTGCCCTCAAGCTCCCAGGCCTCCGGTGGAGGACCTGAGCTTGAAAGGATAAAGACCGGCTGCAGGGCCGAAAGGGGAAATCTTTTTTCATGAAATATATATATAGCACCAAACCAGTGCCTCGGATTACTTTAATTTGTAAAGTAAGGATCTTACCCCAACAATCAGACGATCCTCAGTGAGTAAGCACTTGGCGACAGCGGGAAGGAAAAACTCCCTTTTAACAGGAAGAAACCTCTGTTTGTAGTGGCTGTCCTGAAATGCCACATTTTTCTGAAAAACAAAGAAGCTGTTCATCCGTTCAGCTCAGACATACACGTCTATATCTTGAT